CTTAATTAGCTATCTAGGGGGCCCCACTTTGTAGGCGTCAAGTGTCAATGACATCCCATGACATGTTTATAGTTTTCGAAATATATCCGGGAAATCATCCCCAAATGGCCGAACTATTCAGGTTAGTGAAATATTATCATTTACCCAGATTATATGACTATTTTGGGACCGATGGGGTTTGAGGTATCGGTTTATACATGTTTATACGGGTGTTGATAGCTTCCTATCTGATGATCAACCTGCGTCAATATGTATAGTTGAGGCATGTTCGCACAGTCTCCGACTAGCGGCGTGTGAATGAAAAATCATATGTGTATAGTAAATATATTGTTATAGTAGAAATAAATCCACGAAAAATATGAAGACTTTGCACGTATTCAGGTCTTGTGACATGATCAATGACCCCCCAAAAAAAGCAACATCAACTGATCATCATCTCACGGCCCTGTGGGGAACACTTTGTGGCCCGGTGGTGGCCCTTGGTTCATCCACCTGTGGCTTCATAGGTGATGTACCCTCTGGTAATTTAACATAGCTATTGAAAATGGCCATTTATAGTGGTTTTTCCCATTAAAAATGGTGATTTTCCATAGTTATGTTAGTTTACCAGAGGGTATCCCATTAATGATGTTTCTAGCGGCTAGCGTAGCATAGCGTAGCCATATGTGGCCGCAGAAAAAAAACGCTTGGTTTGACCCTGTTTGTAGCTAAAGGTCCATCGTACATCTTGGAGCCTAGGAAGAAAACTCCCTACAGGCCGCTAGGGGGCCTCTGTATCGCATAGTTGAATGAGACATTTAAAAAAGGAAGCTCCATGAAAGTCCTGAAAAATTGGGGGCCCATATTTTGAGTGTATATCCCCTTACAGTACATAAGTACATAGGCCTGAAAATTGATAGGCCAAAAATATATGGGATTGGTACCCTCTGGTAAACTAACAGTTTGCGAACTGGAAAATCACCATGCTATTCATGGGAAAATCATGGAACATCCACGAACTAAATCACCATTTTCAATAGCTTTTACTGTTAGTTTTCCAGGCCGGGTACCTCCAATCCATCGGATCAATCCGTGTTGCCAGTTCTATCGAGCGAGTCCGCGATCCCCAGAGGGACCCAGGGAGGCGTTAACGTCAAAAAACACTGGGGATTCTGAATTCTGAGTTTCCATGAGGAAATTTTTGAAATCATTGGCAATTCATTTCACAAATTAAACGGATGTAAATGATATTAAATGATATAAATGGACTAAATGGAATGAATTTTGGGTTTCGAAGAATGTGAATTTGTTTCGAAATTGACCATCATGATCTCTACATTTTTTCATAGTTGTGGTTGATTCCAGCAGCGAAAAAAGCCAGACATCCTTGGCTCGGAATGGCTGCGGGAAGAATGTTCCTGGTTTTGGATCGCAGATTGCTCTCAAATCAATGGACCGAAATATGGTTGTACTTGGAATTTCCCACTATATTCCATTCCCATATTCCTGTAATTATAATGATTATACAATAATTATAATGTTCAAGTTTTTCCCATGAGAATAGGAATATAGGAATGATAAATATATATATAATATAATATGTATATATAATATAATATATATATGTATTCACCATATATTTCAGCATATTCTCATTATATCCCACAACTGGTCCCGAGGTGGACAGCCACCACACTGGTCATCCGAAATTTGCCCCAACAGATCGACACACAAGAGAAGGCCCGCGGAAATCGAGCTGTGCAGGGGAGAATCAGAGGAACATTAGTTGAAATGGTGGCAATATGGCAACTCCCCGAAAAACTAGCCTTGGTTTATGGTGTTAATAACCAATTCTATGGTTGATTGGGGGAATAGCCTCTGGTAAACATTCACAGTTTGCTGTAGAAGCCATGGCCCATATATAGTTAGTTGATTTACCGATCTTAAAGATGGTGATTTTCCATAGCTATGTTAAATTACCAGAGGGTAAATGAATCTGTTTATGGTTTCAATGCAGTTTTTTTTTTTAATGGGAACACGTTTGAATGGTAAATGGGTATGGGTTCAATCGGATTGTTTGAGTACCCCGAAGCGGGTGCCCCTTTGTGATATACCACATCCCCTCCAGTGATTGATCAGAGTTTGTTCAGGGAAAGAACCTCGTTTCCATAGCGAAAAATGCTGGAGATGGCGATGAATTCATGGGACCGGGATCAAGGTGGTGCTGCGATACTTCATCCACATCCACATCAGCTGATTGATAAACTGCCTGCCTACCATGTTGTGGGCTAAAACTCCGATATATAAAAAAAAACGCTTGATGGATCAGATTTGATACGGAGTTTAAGTTTATGCTTACTGATAAGATCCGATAAGTTTCCCCTTAATTTTCAAGGAACCACTGGCTATGGGCAATACGGCTTCGTTCTTTTTGGTACCTCGAAAACTCCTGATAGACATGTGGTTCGTTCTGATGAATGCCAGACATCAATCCAAGAATGCAGGTTCGGCAGGTTCGATCTCAGAAATGTTTAAGATAACATCCACACGAATCCCATTTTTTGTGGATAAGAACCAGGGTTTCAATTGTTCCAATTGTTCCGGAAGCCAATCCAATCCATTGGCTTTTTAAATGTCCGTCCCAATCCTTATATGATGTTTCTTAATTATCCATATTTTGACGGTTACAACCAGCATCAATTGATGGGCTATAAACATCACATGGTTTCTTTTGAAATGCCATGTGATTTGATTTGATTCTGATAGGGATATCGAAGTTATTTTCCCTTGAACTACTCCATTGGCAAACCAAGAATCATCAAATATCCCTGAAATATCCCATTGATGGTCAATAATGTTAATAAGTAGCTAGCTCTATTTCTGATGCTTAAAACCGCCGTCAACCTGTCATCACTCTACACTGCTCAACACGTTAAGATATAAATCAATGAGCCCAACTCTATGTTTGGAGGGGGCAAGGGGGTAAGAATTCAAAGTGGTGCACTTGAGCCTCCCCTTTTCACACCAACAATGGTCAATACCCTCTGGTTATTTAACATAGCTATGGAAAATGGCCCGTTTATAGATGATTTATGATGATTTACAGTACCTATTTAAACATGGTGATTTTCCATAGCTATAAATAACCAGATGGCATCCCTATCCATTGAAGCAGCGTAGGCGATGAAATGGCTGGATGAGTCTGGCTTTGGAACCTTGGTGCCCGCAATGGTTGATGGATCACTCGCCTCCAGTCACTGGTCATCTAACCTAAATTGGAGCTATCTACCATACCCTCTGGTAATGACTAACATAGCTATTGAACATGGCCATTTATAGTGAGTTTTCCCATTAAAAATGGTGATTTTCCATAGTTATGCTAGTTTACCAGGGGGTATATTTTTGGCCTATTTTTTAGGCCTATGTAAGTGGATATACCCCCTATATATATGGCCAACAATATGGCACTAACGTACCTCCATCAATTGGATCCTGGAATTTTGTTGATGGCGAGGATTGGCCTGGATTTTTCGGGTCTGGGTGGGCCCGTTGGGTGGGCCCTGAAAAAAAGTTCGTTGATCTCAATGGGATTTAAGATGGATCTTCATGGGTTTTCATGGGATTTTTTGGATCCAAAGATGTGATGCAACGGTAAACGGTTTACCCAAGTATCTTGTACATGGCCAGCTGGAAGTTTTCCTCGAAAATGATAAATTTGCCGTAGCCTTGTTTTTGGTAAGGTCCCCTTGAGGGCGTCGCGGAGTGTTATCGTTTTTTCAGGTTTGCGTATTCTTCGAATCACTCATTTCATTGCACGTTTTACACGGTTTTCTTGTGCTTCTTTGCATTTTCTGCTGTTTTTACTGTGTTTCGTGACGTGCTTCCTGTGGTAGTTGGGTTGTCGGCAATGCGAGGTTTTTTGGGGGGGTGGGGTGGGGGGGTGGGGGGCGGGTGGGGGGGTTGGGGGGTTGGGGGGGTGTTGGGGGGGGGCTGATGATAACGTTCTTGTTTATTAACGTTCCTGCATCTGCGTTCTTGACACGCTTTTCACTTTTGCAAGTGACGGTTTGACACGCGTTCGATGTTTTGGTTTTGATATGTTGACGTTGGTGTCCGGTGGCGTGTGGGCATGGGGTTGGGTTTGGAGGGGGATTAGAACGTTCACGTTAACCAGCGTACCTGCAACGCGGATGATTTCATTTTTTTGTGCGTTGTTAGAAGAGCTTTTAAAATAAAATGATCTCATGTCTTTCTTCTTGGAAGAGCATCAAGAAATGGATTCCAGACACCTTGGAAACTACTGGCCGCTTCAGCAGACGAATCAACCCACATTTGCTGCAGTACATCCGAAGTTGGCAGTGGCGATCTCAGGAAAAGAATGACTGTGTCTCACACCTGTCCAAAGCTTTGAAAGCAATGTATGCGCGATGAGGTAAAAAAAAGTTACTTCGGAGACCCCTCTTGGAAGATGCATTTTGACAACCCTCACGAAATGCAGGTTTTTAAGGCGTTGTGCGTTGAAAAACGCGCGACGCCCTCAAGAGGACCTTTCCTTGTTTTTAGATGATTGAGAATGGTCAACAATAGCCCGACATGAGTCTGTATAGTTCACAGTTACTATAGTTTTGTTTGCATCACGCCGGCGTAGCAATGAGGTTTTTTTTTGGGTATATTTTGACATACCCTCTGGTTATCACTAACATAGCCATGGTATAGATGGCCCATAGAAATAGATGATTTTCCTATTAATACCTCCATTTATAAGGGATTTTCCATGGCTATGTTAAAGAACCGGATGGTAACACCAAAATCAATTGTCTTTGTGAGTTGCGCCTGAATCTGGGACCACGATGTCAGCAGTAGAAACCGCCCCTGTAGGTGAGATGTTGTGGAATATCAAATAATATGCATGGACCAAAAACCATCCAAAAACAATCCCTAAGTCTTACCAGACATGGGTGATGGCTTTTGCCATCCCCGAGCAGAGGTTCATCATGGTTTATCATATGGTTTATCCGCTTATGGAGGTCAAATGCTATACAAACGATGGGCTGTTAATGGAACTTGGTTTTTACAAGGCCATCATTCAGAACAGACAAACCGAACGAGTCCAACACAGTGGATGTTTGTTATAAAGATATGTGGCGTTCTTTGCGAGCAATTTGTTTTTCCCTCTTCCAGTGAGTTAAGACTGTTTCAATGCAAGAAACATCGATATCTCAAGCAAAAAAATGCCATTATATGCCTATGTCAGCTATGGCTATGTCATATCAATGTACCTTTGCTCCAGTATATCCTGATTCCATTGATTTTTTGAAAGGACATACCTTTCATCCACACTCTGCAACTGCGTGACAGCACCCAGGACACAGTTACGACTTCTTACTTTACTTTCCTCGGAAGTCGTCGGGGCACCTACCAGTTTTGTTCATGACACCTTTCCATGTGAGCCACTCTCGTACACCCCGAAAAGATAGAAGTTTTTTGCAAGATCCCATTCAAATGGTGAAGAATTGAACCGTTTCTATCTTTTTGGGGGGTTGCCAAAAAATCAGGTTTGTTGATTTTTGTGGTTTTGCAAGGTGGCAGTTGGTCCATGGTCCATTCGTGGTCCATTCGTGGTGAAATGGTCGGAAATTCAGAAAAATTGCGGCTTTGCCAACAGTTTCCCTCAGGAATTCGGCGAACAAATTGAAGAGTTTGGCTTACGTCTTCGTGAATTTCGTGGACTCTGCCATCGCCAAGGTCCGCAAGGGGATCCCAGGGGGGGATCCTGGGGGATGGTGGTGGATCTATGACCTGACAGGTCATTCGTTATTTGATAAGAAAAACCATGATCACACCAGGGTTTTGGAGTGATTCCAAGTGCGGAAGCCAAAACAAAAAGATAAGGAATGATATAAGGGATAAGGCCTTTGAACATCTGAAGAAAGTGACATTTTGTGACTATGCTTACGTTTTAACATGTTTTAGTTTTAACTGCTTTTTTTAGCGTGCAAAAACTTCCACAGATCCGCAGCCAGGTCTGCTTGGAGACCCTTCCCCAGAAAGTGTCCGATGGCATGCCGTTGAGCGTGGTCACTTCCAACATTCAGGGCCGTGAGGTGCCGTGAGGTTCGTGTGAGCTGGAAGAGGGCTTGCACACACTGCCGATGTACATTGGACATATGGAAAATACATGAAAATCCTGGGATTTTTTGTGAGGATCTAATGGGGATATAACATGATATAACCAGCAATAGTGAGATTTAAATGGATATACCCTCTGGTAAACGTTTACATAACTATGGAAAGATCCACCATTTCTAATGGGAAAATCCACTGTTTCTATGGTCATTTTCAATAGCAAACTGTTAAATTATGAAAGGGTAATGAGGGTTAGCCTCTGGAAACATGGCGAACGAAACTCCCCCCATAGTTCGATGATGGCCCTCCCCAGCGAACGATTTGGCTCGACTTCGATTTCGGGGATTTCCCACCCTTTTTGGCGATTTGTTGATACTGGAGAGTATGTAATATCTATCAGCCCATAGGCATATTAGGATATTACCATCTGGTTATGACTAACAGTTTGCCATGGAAAGATCCACCATGCTAGAAAAATAGGTAAACCCAGGTAAACCATCTATAAATGGGCCATTTTCCATGGCTATGTGAAATAACCAGAGGGTATCATGATAGATATATCTATTGGGATACGTAATATCATGTAATATCTATTACCATAATGACATCCCAATATATCCCATGAGAACAATCATCATGCTATATCATCAAAAAGTATCCCGCCCTATAATAGACTCTATAGATCTTTTGATTTTTTCGGATTGAGATCCCCAAAACTGTCTCTTGGAGGTTTGCTTTGCCATGTGACCAATCAAAGCACGGAGGTGTTGCACCCAACATGTTCAAAAAGCCGCAGCCAATTCAGATGTCGGGAAACATATTCGCTTTTATATGATTAAATCATATGTATATATGGATTTACACATTCTTCATATGTATATGCAATGTGTATATGTATATTTATATATAACAATATCAACAGCCCTAATAATAATGCTAATAATAATGATGCGAGTGATCATACCAAATTAAATTATATTGTATTTCCCCTAAAAAATCGCTCAACAACCTCAGGGATATGTTTTCGACATAAGGAGCTTTCGAAAAAAAGCCAGGCCTGCATCCAGCGTTTCAGACTGGTGGCAGACTCAGGAAGGCCAAAATTCGGCGATGGCAGTGGATGGCAGTGGATGGTGGATCAATGGAACTTCCCTGGGTAACTGGTTAATGGATGTGAATGGATGTTAAATGTTAATGGACGTTAAATATGGATATTAACATCCATTAATCCCATTAACATCCATTAACCAGTTTATAACATCCATTAACCATATTTTTAGTGGATATTAATGGATATGAATTTCCATAAATCCCATGAGAATCACTGGATATTTAGTTGACTAATATCCACAAATGTTGGTAAACAATGTCATAAACCAGCCATATTAATTGGAATGGTTTATACTATACCACCTATTGGAATGGTGATGACTGGGGGATGGTTTATGAAATTGTTTTACCCACGTAAACCTATTTATAGGATAAACCCAGGGGAATTATGATCACCAGGGTTATTCACCAGTTAATAAGTTGTATGATCCTTGAACAAGGCAACTATAATGATGGTATATCAATGGGGTTGGACTAATTTCAACGGGGGATCAACCGCCAACTCACCAACAATAGTGGTACAATAATGATGGTATAATATGGGCATCATGGGGTACAATGGGGATCGTTCTAAAACAAAAAACATGTATTGGCTAAAGCCTGTCAAGGTAGTCAGCACCCTTCTTGTGAATTCCATTGACATTTTCTCACAATCCCAGTTGCTGCACGAGTAATTGGCGTTGTACCTTGAAAAAATTGGCCCTGAAAAGGAGGTTAGCGCACCATATTCACCAAGTTTTGCCAAGAAGGGTACAATTTTTCTACACAGGATACACGTGCATATAGTTTTCTCAGGTTTTCATTTGATTTATGCTTTTGTGTGTCTTTTTTGTTATGTGCCAGATGTTGGTAAAGCGATCATAAACCATCCCCAAGATCATTTCTTAGTGTGCTACAGTATAAACAGTCCATTTGTATGGTTGGTTTATGAACTTGCTCTACTAAAACCCCAATATTAAACACACCCATTCTATGGTCCCAATGTAGAATTTCCCTACATCCACCATGGTTGCAGGCTGATTCCCTTCTCCGAGGTCGTTGGGGAGGATCAGGGGCAGCTGAATGACTTAGGAAACCATCAAGAATTACCATTGAACCAAAATGGAATGGGGTTCCAATAAGCAACAAATTGAAGGTGGACAAGGGAATATCCACAGAAAAAAAAAATGCACCAACAAAATCTTGGCAGTGCAAAGCCCTCGAAAATTCCAATTTCAAATTGGCAAATTTCTCTGGTCAGAGAGAAGAACCATTGCCATGTCAGTTGCCGGGTCTTTCATCTTTCTACCCTGGTTTTCGCGGAGATTTTTCCCACGGAGTGTTGGGAAGTGTGGGGCAAGCCATTCCGGTTGATTTGTCAAGACGCCATCAGCCACTGAATCAAACATGTGGCATACTGTAACCACCCACGTGCTGACTTCAGGGATTAATAAGTGGCAGCATATCTTCATAGACACACACACATACATATATATATATATACATGATTATACATGTATATATATATATATGTACCAGAATATATCAAAACAATGTCAAGGCCAAAAGAACTTCTTCGGACTCCCAACATGGAGCCAGTAAAATGTTCTAATTGGTAAAACTTTCTGGTCAAAGTCATGTTTTAAAAATAGATCCGCCCCAAAAGTGGGGTACTTTATTGGTGGGGAGGCGTGATGAATCTGTCCCGGTATTTGGCTGCCGGTGGGTTCAATCCTCGGGTGTGAATATTGTTTATTTTCGCATCCAGAGTTTTCAGTAACTATCCATGTTATTTGTTGCATCCATTTATTTACGTGTTGTTTTTCCTTGTATTCTCCAGTAACCTAAGATAGCTGTGGAAAATGGACCATTTAGTTCGGTGTTTTACCTATTAAAATGATGATGTCCTGTGATGTCCCATAGTTATGCGAGTTTACCAGAGGGTATACTGTATCCTATTAACATCCCAATAGGCGGGAAACTCTCCGGAGGAATCAGCTATTTACTAGCAGGATGTTTTTTTTTTTGTTTTTTCATTGGGTTATCCAGTTATCCATAGTTATCCCATATATCTTCCATCAAACATACCAGAAAAATCTCCTACCGCCAGGACCTCTCACAACCTCTCTCGAACATCCAGGAAATGGAGGACATTTCTGGGAGCCCACAACAACTGGCTGTCGTTTGTCTGGCATCTAGTGGACACCTCCCAGTGGAAAGCCACCATGGGTAACAAACCATCCCCAACTATCAACAATAGTAGCAGGACTAGTGTAAATCATTCCAAGTAGGATCAGTCCATTTGGATGAATTAGAACGACCATGAACGACCAGAGGTGGCGAAGTGAAGTGGAATGATGTTTGGGTCGGCGGAAGTATCACCAAATGGCGTTATTTCAGCTGCTGAAATAATGTGGTTTTTCCGGAAGTATCGATTTCAAACAATCCAAAAATAGGGATAACATTGACAAGGGATGGTTGGTTGATGATTATACAATCTTAAATTATCATCAAATAACCACCATTAATCATATGGCATCATGAACATCATCATGAAGGATTTCATACTCCCAGTGATGGCAGGAGTCTAGCGGCATGCTCTGGCAGTGGCAGTGAGGCGGTAATGGCCCCAAGAGTTGCCATTAGTTGCCTTTGGGAATGGTGGATTTTGGTGATTTTTGGTGGGTTTATGGACCAAGTTTCAAGCCTGCTAAGTTTCTAAATATAGTTTGTTAAGGATGTGTTAGATCATTTTATATAGAAGGATTTTCTGTTGCTATGTCTCTCGGATATTGTCAAGTGTTGGCATTTTTCGTATTATTTACTATTATTTCGGGAATTCAAGTAGGGAGTCAGAAGGGCCACCATCAGACCATACCAGAGCATCAGATGCGCCTTCCTCTTAGTGCCTGAAGCTGCTCGTCTGAAATCCGTAAGCAACGTTTGGAAGAGTCTGGCACGTGACTTTGCCATTGCCTTTAAGCATCTATTTTTTAGCTTCAAATTTCTTCAACATCATTTCGGTGTTTATCTATACATATCTATGCCATTGACTTTGGTGATGTTCCTAGCTATACTGGTTGGTGGTTTGGAACATGAATTTTATGACTTTCCATTCAGTTGGGAATGTCATCATCCCAACCTTTCACTCCATCATTTTTCAGAGGGGTAGGTCAACCACCAATCAGATGGGATATAGTTAATTATTAACTATCATCATTAACTATCATCAACTATCATCATGAAAGTTATTGATATTCCATTCCCAATCAAATAAATCAGCTATAAATAAACCCCCCATGTAGTTTTTCCCCCAACGCCATGAATCCGCTTTGCTCGGCTCCCTCACCAGCCTTGATTCGATAAACAATTCGATGGACCGGCGGGAGTGGAGTCCCACAGCCAGCCTTGGAGAAAATGAGGGATAAAGATGAATGGTACCATCTGGTTATGACTAACATAGCCATGGAAAATTCCAATCATAAATGGAGGTTTAGTTCGCTGGGAAAACCATCTATTTCTATGGGCCATGGCTTCCATGGCGAACTGTTAGTCATAACCAGATGGTAAAGGATTAAATCATGAAGAACGTCACTGGAATATCTGGAATGCTGGAAAATTGGGATTCTATATCAGACCAATTCATTAAAACTTAAGCGATGATAATTAAATTATATACAGATATACAATTATGATTGGGAAAACATGGTGAAGAAACCAACTAACTCAATGACATTGTCAGCTTCGTGTCTTCCCAATCCTCAGTGAGTTGGATGGGATGGTGGTAGCACTGAAAACAAACGCACTGGCATCGCGCTGGCATCGTGCTGGCATCGCACGGCCTTAGGATGGGGGTTTGTTAATTATACAATAAACTTGAGTAATTATATCTGATATA